TGCACTAATTTTATTGCCACAAGTATAAGTGTCCCTTTTGTTTCCATTCTCTCTAAAAAAAATCTTTGTCACTCTCACATGTTTAGTCAGTGGTATTCTCAGCATTCTTCTGTAGAGCCAAATTTTTATTGCTTCAAGTCTCTTCTTCATATATGAAGAGATAGTCCAGCATTCACAGCCATATAGGAGGATTGTTAACAGTTCAGTACTCTTTTCTTTGTTTCTAACAAAATTTTGCTGTTTCTTAATACTTTGCTTAGCTTTTGGAAGCCTTCTTTCACTATCCCAATGGACCTTTGGATTTCAGTGTCGCACTTTCTGTCTTCTACTGAAACATTTCCCAGATATTTAAATTGTTGTACTTGTTTGATTTTGGTATCTAAAATTTGTAATTTGCATGTGGGGCTGTTCCCTTTGCTAAGAACTATACATTCTGTGTTTTTACACCTGGTATTCCCAAGTAGTCGCCCATCTAGGTACTGACCAGGCTCAACATTGCTTAACTTCAGAGAACCTTAGTAGAGTCAGATAATTCACATTATATAATTCCAAACATATATATATATGTGTGTGTGAGTGTATAAAATAATAATAATAATAATAATAATTGTGCACTCTCTCTGCTACGCTATTCTGCAGCATTCTTAGATTAGAATAATGCAGAATCAAAGGAGATGGATAAAACGCGCATGTTAATGAATATGCATAACACTCTAAATCCAAACAGTAATGTCGATAGTCTATATATTCCAAGAAAGGAGTGAGGTAGCAGGTTAATGTATGGTAAAGAAGTTGTGTCATTGGCTATTCAGGGACTTGGAAATTATGTTAAGAGTCCTTACAAATTGCATCTCACATCTGCATGTCAACTGGATGGTGATTTGGAAGCATGAAATGTTGTGCAAGTGACAGTATCAAAGAAGTAGCAAAAGGAGAAGCGACCTGAGAAGTTAAAAAAAAAAAAATCCTTAAAGTCTGTCTGTTTCAGCAGACAATTGTTGGACATGAGATGTGACTTTGGATAAAAGATGGTTGTCTAAAGTGAGAAACAGAATCATTTCTATTTGCAGTAGAGGAGCAGATCATCAGAATGAATGCAATCAAAACCAGAATAAACAGATCCCAAGAAGAAAGCAAACTTCATGAATTTAAGCGTTCAACTAGACTGGCATCTCGCTCCCACCCTTTCACTGTCGAAACTATTAAATGTAGCCGTCTCTTCTACTCCAATAGCTTCATATCTCCCACCTCTCGCCTGTGGAACTCCCCCCTTTTCCTGTTTCCCTGAGAGCTATAATCTCCAACTATTCAAATGTAATGTCAATTGACGTCTCCAGATGCCTTGATCTATCCCCTATCCTTCTCTTCATCCTTTCCTCTATCACTCCTATTTGGTCTCGCTCCAACTCTCTGTAACCCCTTGCGTGCTAGTGGCTTCCCGCCTTGCTTGAGGTGAAACGCTTATAAAAAAAAAATGCAGGATGTGTGGACAAGGTGATGTGACAGTTAATTACACAGTTGTGGAAAATCCGAAGTTGGCACAGAAGGAATATAAGCAACAGTATGATTGGATTGATAAGAGAATCCGCTAGGAAGTATACCATAAGTTTGGCTTCAGTGTGAAAGAGAAGTGGTATGAAAATAACCCAGAGGCCATCATAGAAAGGGACAGTCACAAGATGTTACAGGTTTTCTCACTCCAGATAGATCATGTCAGTGAAGCAGCTTGACCCAACCTTATTGTTATAGATAAAGAGAATAGAAAATTTCAAATTATTGATGTTGCTGTTCCATATGATACAAGATTGGACTCCAAAGAAACTGAAAAGATAGAAAAAATACCAGGATCAGGCTTGAGAGATGAAGAAGCTATGAAACATGAATGTAGAATATAATTCCTTTAGTAATAGGTGCACTTAAAACAGCATTTCGAAAATTGAAAATATTCTCAGGAGAATTGGAATTGGGATCAAAATTGTAGACCTTCAGAAAACTGCCATTTTATTTACTCTGCAAGGATTCTCCAAAAAGTTCTTGAGTTGTAAGGATTCTTGTTGACTCTCAAGAACAGAATTTCAATTTATTATGTCAACATGCGACATCAAAATATTAATAATAATAATAATAGCATCACCTATTGATAAATATAAAATAATATAATTTAATATATGTCAAGGTGAACAGAATTCTAATCAATAAAGTGATCAATAGATATCTAGAGCAATAGTTATTGTTATCAAAAATATAAAATCTATTTCAAGTATCTGACAATTGCTTTATTAACATGAGTCTTTTAGTAACGGACGTGCTTGGTGCATTTTTAATAAGATCCAGAAAAACATAATATTTACATCGTATATGGCTCTATCTAGTGGATATTGAACTCTGTATTTAGAAAAATCAATGTTAATCTGCATTTGACTAAATTTCAGTAAATCTTTTAACAGTTAATACTGTACCTATATATATATATATATATATATATATATATATATATATATATCCAAGTATAGGATTGGTATATATGGAATAAATTCCAATAGTCATTTTGTTTCAACACTTCTGGTATCTCATCAAGTGATGGTGTTGAATGTAGTATAAATTATATAAATTATGTTATAATTTTCAAATGAATTATATTATTTAAGTTCAACATTCAACACCATCAGTTGATAAGATACCAGAAGTGTTGAAACAAAATGGCTATTTTTGTAGTGATTTTATAACATATTTATGTTATAATTTTCGAATAAATAATTATATATATTTTTTTTATATATTTATATATATATATATATATATAGGGCCGATGTGTACTACCCTCAAACCAAACGACCAGGTGGGACCCAAGCTTGATCGGAGCCTCTGAGTTATGATTTGTAACCCTCACTATCTTATCAACATTATATATATATATATATATATATATATATATATATATAATGTTTACATTTATGTATGTTACAGATTAAACTAAGCATAACTGATTATTAAAGGGTGAAAAGTTTTTCAAACTTTGACAGCATTCTAAATCATTCAATATTTTCACAAGAAAAATCTCATGTGGACATTAAAAACTGCTGCAAAACATTGTTGATTTATTTAAGATGGATTGTTCTATTATGACACGTTTCGAATTTGTATTTGATACATTGTATTTATTTTTTCTAGTTGAATTATTCACCTATATTAATTTATGATCCATTAATGTACATAATTAGGTTACAATAAAATTTGTATTTTATATGAATATGATCTTATGAAAATTGAGATGTACTAGAGTGGGGGTGGATACAAGCTCCTTGCACTGTCTATGTATGTGTGTATGTATATATATATATATTTGTGTGTGTGTGTGTGTGTGTGTTTGGTATATTTACGGCATATCAACCTCAATGGGTTATTTAATGCCGACAACATTTTTTATTGCTGGTAATATTTTGTTTTGTCAAAAATCTGTTTCTGGTAATATTTTTCCTTCAAAATTGTATTACTGGTAATAATTTTTTTCCAAAAAGTATTGTTGGTAATAGTTAACTATTTGCCCATAGCTGGAACCCTAACAGGTGATACCACCCTGGTAGCACCTGTTAGGAACACCAGCAATTAAGAGATAGTTCCACACTCCTCAAAACCTCCTGATCAGAGGCCTTGCTGCTGGATGTAGTTTATCATCAT